GAGTGGTCTGTGTAACCGGACTGATGTGAAAGACTCGAAACGAATTTGACACTGACGAATTTCGGGGGGGGGGGGGGGGGGGGGGGGGGGGGGGGGGGGGGGGGGGGGGGGGGGGGGGGGGGGGGGGGGGGGGGTTCCAGCACATCAACAGTCGGCGAAAATCTTGCCGCAATTAGCGGCTAACTTTCACAATCACGACTGTGCGGGTCGCCTTGACGGCCCGGACCGCCAGGACACGGCGCAGCCGTGCAGAGTGGCAGGACATCATCACGTCCCACCTTCTGCATAGCACAGCACAGCGCGGCGCGCGCACGCACTCCCCTCCACACCGAACCTTCCAGATTCCCACTACCATCACACACCCTCCCTGGACACCCCACCGGGACGGGAAGCTCTCACAGCAACGCCCTGCAGACAAGCAGAGTCTTTTCTACAAGCTCAGCCACTGTCTCACCACCACGCAGCTCCCGTCTGAGTGTCTAGCTAGCTAGCCACATCCCGTTTTCTTGTCCATGGCTGCTGACGTTCTTTGTCACGATGACGACGAGGCCGGCAAGCCTCGTTCCGACTCTCCCCCGAGAACAGGTCTCAGCTTTCTGAGGCCTTTTGCGGTTCCCGTTACCGAGTCTGTCCAGACGCGGGCAGATCCGCCCTCCCTACCCACTACGGGTTCCAATGCAACGACCCCAGAACCTGCCGCTGCCGGCCCATCCCAAGAACCCACGGAGCCTGGACGGGAGTCGAGTGGCACAAAGCGCAAACCAGGCGCCAGTACCGTGCCGCAGAAATGGCGTCAGCGGAAGCTCAGCTTTACACGGGAGCCCAGTCTAGGCGACGAGGTGGCTGACAACGACGGAGACAACGAAGAGGAGGAAGATCTCACGACATCAGAAAAAGATCCTGAACTCGCGTTTACCAAGGCACACCGCCGCTTCACAAACTCCTGGCAAGGATTATTCCCGTGGCTTGTATTGTCTCGCGCTGACGATGGGTTTCCTATTTTAAAATGCAGTACTTGCATGGAGTTTGGCGCCGAGAATGCGAATACGGCATACGGCAAGGGCGGTGCTGGTGGACGCGACATGGAGAAGCAGAGCATTCGAACTCATCAACGGTCTACAACACATCTTGACGCGCATGGGGCCAAGAAGGCGACGGAGAGCCGGAAGTTGCGCCAAGCGATGCTGGACGAGTACGAGGGACTCGACAAGAAGACACTTCACCTTATCGCGGCGTTAAAAACGACGGTTTTCACGTGCCAATCCGAGGCACCAATCTCTTCCTACATCGGGTTCATCAAGTTCATGCTGGAGATGGGTTGCCCGAACCTCCCGATTGATCAGCGCGGAAGCTACTACTCAGAGTGAGAATCTCGAAGTCATGTTTTGACACGGTTATGTTTCCTGACACTCGTGTGCGTTCTGACATATGCACCGTATACATGCAGGTATGGCTTCGCCGAGCTGGTCGAAGCCGCGTCCAAGTATTTACGTCAAGAGCAACTACAGCACATCGGCCAGAGTCCCTACATCGGCATCGCTCTGGATGAGAGTACCGATAGGGTGCGCGGGAAGCACCTTATCGTGTACGTCACGTACTTGAAATGCGAGGAGGTCGTGACGGAGTTTCTCTCCCTGCTGACGGTCGACAAGACAGATGCTGCAAGTCTCCAAGACGTGCTGCTTACGCATCTGCACGCGATCGGCCTCGACTTCTCGAAAATCGTCGGGATAAGCACTGACGGTGCTTCGGTCATGACCGGGGAGCACGCTGGCCTTGTGGCTCGTCTCCGCGCGAAGAACCCCTACCTCGTCTCATGTCACTGCATCGCCCATCGGTAGGAAAATGCGGATGTAAAATGAATGTCATGTGAAAAGTTTAATGCATCAATGAACTCCCTTACTACCGACCTGGCTAACATGCATGCTTTCCTTTCGCAGAGAGGCGCTCGCCGCCAAAGATGCTGCGACCAAGCTGACGGACTTGGAAATCGTTGACAAGGGAGTTCGGGCGGTGGCGACGACGCTGTCGCAGAGCTCCAATCACCACAGGCGTTTCCGCCAACTTCAAGAAGTTGTCTGCGAGACGAACCTCGAGCTGCAGGGCATTCATGACGTGCGTTGGCTATCACGGGGAGAGGCGGTGAAGAGGTTCGCGAAGGTGCTTCCGGCGACGGTGTTCTTGCTGCACGAGAAGGATAAAAAGATGTACGAGACCTGCACGTCTTTCAAATTTCACTTTCTCGTCTACTTCCTTGCAGATTTGTTGGCGATCCTGAACGAGTTGAATGCCAAATTCCAGAAGCTTCAGGTAATGTTTTCATTTTGCAGGCGGTAGCTGTTAAGTCACTAAAAAACCCAACGACTAACATTGTCTTGTGTCTCTAAACCTGGCAGGTGGACATTACAGTCGTCGCAAGTGAAGTTTCCCTTGCGTGTCGCACAATCGAAGTCCGTTACCTAGACTGCGAGGATTCAATTGGCAACGGACAATCACCCTTGCTGAACGAGTTCCTAAAGAAGCACGCAGTTCCGCAGCATCGGGAGGTAAAGGTGCAGGGTGTGGACCTGAATGGTGATCCGGCTGAACACGTGTTCGTGCTGCACGAGCGCCCTATCAAAGGTCAGAAAACTGGCCACGACTACTACTCGTGCAAGAAGCTCTGCCAGGACTACGCACGTGAGGTGAAGGGACGCCTGGAGTACCGGCTGGAGGATCTGGAACATTTGAACGGCGCCAAGATATTCCGTCCAGCCATGTATCCGGATGACAAGAGTCAGCGCATGCGCAAGTGTCGAGAGTGGCTGGGCCAGCTCGACAAAATGTTTCGCCACGCGCTTCCAGGTACAGTTGCATGATTTTGTGTTGTGAGTGTCCATTATGCTTTCAAAATTTGTCGCATTCATTTGCATATTCATTTCTGTGTTCGCATCGCACCCCCCAACAGGTGTGCAGTTCAAGGAGTGCGAGAGGGAGCTGGTACTGTTCCTGCACACCATCGAAAACAACCACGGGGCGTTGAACTTCTACAAATCGCTGACCCTGATGCTGCAGTCAACGGATTATGGCGGTGCATACCCGAACATGGTCCGTTTGTGGCAGGCGGTGGCAGTGCTCCCATTGAGCACTGTTGAGTGCGAGCGCGGTTTCAGCCGACAAAACCGCATCAAGAGCAGTACACGTACCAGTTTATCAGATGAACGATTGGGAGATTTGATGACGTGTGCGCTTCTCCCATCTGCAGATGTGAACTGGACGAACGTTGCGGCACTCTTTCATGCTCTCAAGAAGCGCCGCCCAGCTGGAGATTTTGTTAATGATGTAATGTAGGCATGTATGGTAGGTAGTTGTAGGGTTAGGTTTCGTACGTAGATACAAAATAACACCCTAACAATGTTGTTTAGTACTTGTAGTTTTAGAAGAAAAAAACTGATTCTTACCATCACACTGATAAGGAAATGTAAACTAGCCCTCAACCCTTACCAGAAATAGTGCATTCTGTGGCACACACTGACAGAAAAAGTAGTTGAGAGACAGTGGCCTTACATGGAAGAGTAGCCAGAATCCTAACTAGAGCCGTGACGGGTACAGGTTGCGGGACTGTGGCTGTGGCGACGCGCAATTCTGGTGACTCGGGCAAATCGCCGCTAATCGCGGCAGAAATCACGTCGGTGAATCAACCCCCCCCCCTCCCCCCCCCCCCCCCCCCCCCCCCCCCCCCTCCCCCCTAAAAAATCGCATCAGGGTGGTACCCAACACTACTCGTTGTCATCAGGGCGAGTACACCAGGTCGGTCTGAAATATCAGTGTTACACAAAAATTCACTTTTTATTGTAAGGGCGCCAGGGCTCTGGTTAGAAGGGTGAATCACCCTTACAACCCTTATATAAGGCTGGGTTGTCTTCCTTTGCCTTTTTTTTTCAGAGTTGTTTGTGGCTGGACCCTTTTTCGAAAAAGCTATGTTTCACAATATGTATATTTTTAAAAGCTGTAACGCTTTTCAAAATTATGTATTTTGAAAGCGAAGCTGCTTTTAATGTAGGATTTGGCAGCGTCGAGCCGCGCTAAACGCCCGTTTTGGAGTACAAAACGTGGGCTGGAGGTCATTTCCCTCCACCCACGTCTCTCATTTTCAAACGGTTTAGCCGATTTTCATTCTCAACTCTCGTCTCCCACTCTCAAGCTGGCGAAGTTGAAGTCTCTTCCCCGATTTCAATCCCCGTCGACTTTACTCTCTGACATTTTCGCTCACAACGCAGCAACCATGGCACTTAACGACGGCGAGGGTAATACCGCTACCGCCTCTGTTCGACCCGAGTCCGGAAGAAACGCACGCGAAATTGCCGGCGATCGTCCTAACAAGCGTCGGGCAGACGACGGGGAAATTTCCCCGACTGGCGTCGACGTACTGCTGGGCGCGACCGAGGCTCACGCCCCTGGAGTCGAGGCACACGCCCCTGGAGTCGAGGCACACGCCCCTGGTGTGCCTCGAGCCCCTGTGGCCCCTCAGGCGCTGGCCGCGACAGAAGGCGCCAAGTCGGCGCCAACCAGCGCGGCTGGCACCCCGCGTCCGCGTCAGCGCCGCAGGCCCGTGGGCCCTGACGCGCCTGTGGGCCCTGACGCGCCTGTGGGGCCTGACGCGCAAGTGGCGCCAAGTGAGAAGATTTGAACAAGAATGTGTGAACTATGAAATGATGTGAGTACAAATATGAAACCCTAATTGGTTGTACCCCTTATGGGATACCCCACTATAGCCTACACAACAGCATAAGCTACAATGTTCTGACACACCCCCATAGGCAAAGTGGGGGAGAACAAGGGGTCACAAGACCAGTCAAGCAAAGCAAAGCAAAGCAAGCTCAGGGTGGATCACAAAGTCACCACACAGTCCGAGCACAGGGTCAAGGCCACACGGCCAGTTCACATGCAAGAGTACACACATATATATAAAGCTAGACAAGCAAGAGCAGGTATATATATATGTGAGAGTACAAGCAAGGTCAAGAGGAGAGCAAGTGAGGCAAGACGGGCACAAGACCCAGCTGAGTGCAGAAGCGCTGATGATCACAAGGCGGAAGTGCCTTGGTGAAGACATCAGCAGTGTTGGCCTCAGAGGCCACGTACGCAAGCCGCAACTGTCCACGTTGCTGTAGCTCACGAGCAAGGAAGTAGCGGAGAGCAATGTGCTTTGTTCTGTGCTCCAGTCGCTGCTCTCGACACAAGGCCAGCATGGCCTTGTTGTCTACGTACAGGACTGGAGGAGAACGAGGCGGCTCTCCAAGGTCGGTCAGCAGGTAGGTGAGCCAGCGAAGCTCCTGTGCAGCCATGGCCCCGGCGTAGATCTCAGCCTCACAACTCGAGCCAAGAACAGAAGACGAGCGAGTAGCCCGCCACGAAACAGAGCCGGAACCAAGGCTGAAGGTGTAACCCTGTGACGACCGCTGCGTAGCCTGGTCGTCAGCCCAAGAAGCGTCCGCGTGCCCAGTGAGGACCACTGGACTCCGCCCTCCAAGCACTAGCCCCATGCCCGACGTACTGCACAAGTAGCGCAACACCCTCTTTGCTGCAGCCATGTGCTCTGGTCTGTGTCTCCCAGGAGCAACATAGCGTGCAAGAATGCTAAGAGGGTATGCAAGGTCAGGTCGTGTGCAGGTCATCAGGTACATGAGGCAGCCAACAAGCTCTGGGTACGGGCCACTCGACTCTACGGACTCATCCGAAGGCAGAGCTGAGAGCGAGTGGCGAGTAGACAGAGGAGTGGCCTGAGGCGAGGAGTACGTGAAGCCGAAGCGCTGAAGGACCTGCTGCACCATGTGTGACTGAGTCAGGGTAATGGTGCGGCGTGCTCTGTCCCGGGTGATCTGCAAGCCAAGATAGCTGCGCAGTTCACCCAGGTCTGTGCACGTGTGTCTCTTCTGCAGCTCGGACTTCACGTAGGCGAGTCCAGCAGTGTCGGCTGTGGCAAAGACCAAGTCGTCGACGTACACGAGGATGTAGAACGGCGGCAGAGAGGTGTCGGTGCGTAGAAACAGCGACGGGTCGGCAGTAGAAGGAGCAAACCCAAGAGCCGCAAGTGTAGTCCTCAGTGTGTCGTGCAACTCACGTGGCGCCTGGCGGAGACCGTAGACTGGACGCCGGAGACTCCACTGGGTACCAGGAGGGAAAGACCCAGTGAAGCCAGGTGGGCGACGCAGCCAGATCTCCTCGTGCAGGCTGCCCTGCAAGAAAGCTGTGCTGAAGTCAAGAGAGTGCAGCTCGTAGTCACGGTGAGCAGCAACATGCAGCAGTACCCGAAGAGTGGTCATCTTCGGGGTGGGGGAGAAGGTCTGAAAGTAGTCAACTCCCTGCCGCTGACTGAAGCCACGAGCCACGTAACGCGCCTTGAAGACAGGTGGAGAACCCGGCGGCCGCTTCACCCTGAAGATCCACATGCCACTGACGATGTTCGCCCCAGGAGGGGGGACAGCGTCAACGTAGGTGCCTGTGGACTTCCAGGAAGCCATCTCTGCATCCATAGCTGCCTGCCACTGAGAGGAGTAGGGACCCTCTATCGCCTCCGCGTAAGAGCGCGGAGTCGGGATGTCAAGTGCATCCGGGTCTCCCTCAGGGGTAAGCAGTACGGACACGAGATGAGGTGAAGCAGCTGCCAGACACTGGAACTCCTCCTGCCTGTCCTCAAGGACGTCCGTGCCAAGGGCACACTCACCCCCGACGGACGGAGGACAGACAGACTCAGACTCAGCAACAAGACTAGCAGCGTAGTCTAAGCGACAGCGAGCAGCAAAGTCGACGAGCTCAGTAACGAGAGCAGACGCAACAGTAGACTCGAAAGAAGGGTCAGTGACAACAGTAGCAAGGAGACGCGTGACAGTAGGACTGGCAGCACGAAGAGAGTCCGACTCCGGGTCGGCAAGAGCAGGAAGAGAGGACGCAGGAGGAGAAGGCAAAGGGGCACGCAGAGGAGCAGTGGACGGACGCAAAGACATCCGGTGCGTGCCAGGGACAGGAGGAGGACGCTGACGCGAACCGCGACCACTAGTGCGAGCAGCACGGACAGGCGACGCAGGGCGAGACGCAGGCTCACGACGCTCAGCCAGACCTCCAGTAGGACCAGTGTAGGGAGAAGGAGCAGGCAAAGGGGAGGTAGGCTGCAACTGTAGCTGGGACGAGACAGGCTGTGGACACTCTAAGGGAGGAGGAGGACCAGTAGAAGGTGGAAGACCAAGAACCTGCTGCAGGAGTGGAACGAAGTACGGTCGAGGCCGCGCGGCGACGCTAGAAGCAGCAGGGACAGCACCAGAACCCTCAGCAGGAGCACCCGCTCCAGCAGCACCACCAGGAGCTCCAGAACCCCCAGCAGCACCAGGAGCAACCCCAGCAGGACTGCCAGCGGTAGTCTCAGCGCCAACACCCTCAGCAGCACCAGCTCCAGCGCACCCAGGACGAGCACCTCCGGGACCCGCAACCGCAGCACCCTCAGCAGCCGAAGGACCTCCAGCACCAGCAGCACGCCTCCAGCGCCGGGCAAACCACTCACGCAGCTCCTGTGGAGAAAGTGGCTCCCGGCGAGACGAAGCACTCGGAGAACCTCCAGGCGGAGCACCTCCAGGCTCAGCACCCCCAGGCGTAGCACCCCTAGGCTCAGCACCCCCAGACGTAGCACCCCTAGGCTCAGCACCCCCAGGCTCAGCACCCCTAGGCTCAGCACCCCCAGGCTCAGCACCCCCAGGCTCAGTACCCCCAGGCTCAGTACCCCGAGGCTCAGCACCCCCAGGCTCAGCACCCCTAGGCTCAGCACCCCTAGGCTCAGCACCCCCAGACGCAGCACCCCCAGGCCCAGCACCCCTAGGCTCAGCACCCCCAGGCTCAGCACCCCCAGGCTCAGTACCCCCAGGCTCAGTACCCCGAGGCTCAGCACCCCCAGCAGCACCAGAGTCACCAGTGACCTCGACAGGCTCGACTGCGTCTACCTGGGACACACCTGAAGGGGCAGGACCCTGAGGGGGGAGGGGGTCTACCTGGGGGGGACCTGGTACCAAGAAGAGTGGGGGTGGGGGGGGGGACGGAGTGCGGTAGGGGAAGAGGCGGTAGTAGGGGACCGACTCGTCAAACGTGACGTCCTGGGAGGACAGAACACGGCGAGAGGTGGGGTGGTAAAACTGCCACCCAGGCGCGTCAGGGGGGAACCCCAGGAAGACGCAAGGAGCAGCACGAGGGGATAGTTTGTCCGCAGACAGGTCGCGGACAAACGCCCGAGATCCCCAGACCCGGAACGCCGACGCATCGCCAACCTTCCCCGTCCACAGCAAGGCTGGGGAGGTCTCCGGCCTGGAGACCCTGGGGTGGAGGTTGATCTGATGCGCCGCGTACCTCACCGCAAACGGCCACAGAAAATGGGGGGCAGCCGCATGCATCATAGACGTACGAGCGACGTCCATGACCATGCCAATGCGGCGCTCAGCAATCCCATTTTGCTGCGGTGAGTCCGGAAGCGTGAAGGTCTGACGGATGCCCCGTGCACGACAGTAGGCACGCAGAAGGCCAGAGGAGAACTCTCCGCCTCTGTCCGAGTGCAGACGCAGAACAGGAAAGTCCGAGCCGAAGCTCTGCCTGAGCTGGAGACGAGCTGCGCGGATCCAGTCGATCAGCACCTCAGTGACATCACCCTTGCTGCGCAAGGGGAAGACTGTGGTGTAACGCGAGTAGTCGTCAACAACGAGCAGGAAGTAGCGCTCGTGACCCTGTCCACGGACGCGGGCTGGGCCCCACACGTCCATGTGAAGTGTCTGCAACGGGGCCTCTGTCGAAGGAAACTGGGAGGAGTGAGGGGCAGCACGCTGGTGCCCCTCGACACAGGGGACACAGGTAGGGCCAGGGCCCTGAGGAAGGGGAGGGAGGGACCGGGGGAGACCGGACACAAGAAGACGGGAGGCCATACCTCTGAGCCGAAGCAGAGAGGGGTGGCCAAGGCGGTGGTGCCAGAGGAGAGTCTCGTGAGACAGGAGACGACACGAACAGGGGGCAGACTCAGGACCAGACCTGGACGCCGCAGCAAACACCTGACCCGACGTAACTACCCTACCAGACTCAGCAACTGGAGGAGACGCAGTGGTCAGAGTGTACAGGCTCGACCCCGGCTGACGGGTGAACGTAGCCAGGTGTCGGCCTGTGCCAGCCTCTGTACAGTGGGTCACTCTCTGACGTGCAGGAGTGAACTGGTGGACACCCGCATCCTGTAGGTCAGCACCACTCACCAGGTTCGTCGAGAACGAGGGGAGGTAGAGACCAGACAGGGTGCCAGAGGGAGCCGCCGGACACGGGAGGACTGTGGAGAAACGAGACAGGACCGGACCCCCAGAGGGGTCAGCCAGAGACACCGCAACCGGCCGACTAAGTGGCGTGAGTGTGGTGCGGTCCCGAAAGAAGGAGCGAGACGCCCCAGAGTCAAGAGTGAAGGTGAGGGAGGCCGAAGCCGACGCGGTACCTGAGAGAGCAGACTCACCAGTACCTGAGGACGCAGACACACCAGCACCTAGAGCAGCAGCGTCGTAAGCACCTAGGGCAGCAGCCTCACCAGTACCTAGAGCAGCAGTCTCAATGCCCGGATCGGGCTGGAAACACCGGTAACAGTCACCCTCATCACTAATAGACACAGCATACATGGCAGAGAGAATAGCATCAAAGTCCAGATCAAAGATGGCAACCCCCGCCCTAGACAGCTCGTCCCAGCGAGGGATCTCGGAGGCCTCCGGGAACTGGTGACGCCATGCGTCCGTCAGGCGGCCAAAGCAGCGCGGAGTGGGGTGCGCACCCCCACACTGCTCACCCGCACGGTCGCCGGTGCGCAGGACGTAGGTACACGGACCAAAACCCCCACCCCGCTGGCGTGCAGTGTACCACTCACGGAGCTGCTGAGGGGACAGGGTCGCACGACCACGCTGCTGCTGCTGGCGCGAGCCACCACCGGAGCCACTCCTCTGCAAAGACCCGCGACCAGCTCCACCGCCACCCCCACCGCCTCCACCGCCTCCGCTACCTCCACTGCCGCCGCCGCCTCCACCGCCTCCTCCACCGCCGCCTCCTCCGCCACCTCCGCTACCACCGCCACCGCCGCCGCGGCCTCCGCCTCCACTGCCGCCACCGAACCCCCCACCCCCACCTCCACCTCCACCGCTACCCCCACTCCCCCCACTGCCTCCACCTCCACCTCCACCGCCCGCTCCTCCAGCTCCCTTGCCCCCCTTGCCCTTGCCAGGGCGGCGTCTCCCGCTAGGGGCAGACGCCGCACCGACCGACTCAAGAACAAGGAGGTCGGCCGAAGCAGCAGAGGCAACAGAGGGCAGCAGGGGGGAGGGAGAACACCCCTCAAAGATGGGGGTGCGCGGGTCACCTCGAGAGGCTACTACAGCGACTATGCTCTTTTCTATCGCGAGGAGGGCGTTCTCGAGGAGGTCTACAGTGAGTGTGGTGGGACAGACTGAGAGAAAGTGGTCCCTGACTACTCGAAGGGAGTCAGGGAGGCGAGTGACTAGGAAGTACAGAGTGATGTACATGGGGGGGGGGTTCGCGGTGCAGAAGTCAGCAGGAAGTGCAGCGCGGTAGCGAGTGTCACTAGTGCGGAGGTGCGTAATGAGGTCAGCAACGGTGGGAAAAGAAGCAAGGTCAGGGAAGAGGTACGGCAGCATGAGACGGCTCAGTGCAGCAGTGGAAGGGGAGGAGTAGCGCGCGACTACAGCGGCGTACAAGGTCTGAGCACTCTTGTACTGACTAAAGTGCGCACGCTCGGAGGTAGGGAGGTGGCGACGCACAGCAAGACGTGCAGCAGCATCGCGCGTGGCCCACTGGGAGCGAACAGTGGCGTCAGCATCAGCAGCAGGGGCAGGGGAAGCGCCAGAGGTGAGGTCAAAGAGAGAGAGGCCGTCCGCCCTATCGCACTGTAAGAACAGCTGTAGGTCATCTACCCAGACCTCAAAGTCAATGGCCCGACCCTCAGCGTCAAAAGTGAGGACACTAGGGGTGGCCATGACAGCAGTAGACCAGCAGTGCAGGCAGTAAGGGGAAGAGCACGCAGTGACAGAGGGTCTGTGCTCACCGGACAGGGCTGCTCGGGCGGCTCGGCTGCAGGGCGGCTCGACGGCTGGGCGGCTCGGCGGCTGGGCGGTCGGCTGCACGGCGGCTCGGCTGGTGGGCGGCCGGGCGGCTCGGCTGCAGTGCGGCTCGGCGGCGGGGCGGCTCGGCTGCTCTGCTGCTGGGCGGCTCGGCTGCGCTGTTGCTGGGCGGCTCGGCCGCTGTAGAGAAGTGGCGGGGCCGCTGCAGAAAGGGCGGCGGGGCCGCTTGATAGGGCGGCGGGGCCACGAGATAGGGCAGCGGGGCCGCGTGGTAGAGTGGCGGGGCCGCGCGATGGGGCGGCGGGGCCGCGAGGAAGGGCGGCGGGGCCGCTAGGTAGGGCGGCGGGGCCGCGCGATGGGGCGGCGGGGCCGCGAGAAAGGGCGGCGGGGCCGCTAGGTAGGGCGGCGGGGCCGCTAGGTAGGGCGGCGGGGCCGCGCGATGGGGCGGCGGGGCCGCGAGGAAGGGCGGCGGGGCCGCTAGGTAGGGCGGCGGGGCCGCGCAATGGGGCGGCGAGGCCGCAAGGAAGGGCGGCGGGGCCGCTAGGTAGGGCGGCGGGGCCGCGCGATGGGGCGGCGGGGCCGCGAGGAAGGGCGGCGGGGCCGCTAGGTAGGGCGGCGGGGCCGCGCGATGGGGCGGCGGGGCCGCGAGGAAGGGCGGCGGGGCCGCTAGGTAGGGCGGCGGGGCCGCGCGATGGGGCGGCGAGGCCGCGAGGAAGGGCCGCTAGGGCGGCTCGACGAAGTGAGGGCCCGGAGCGCGACTCGGGCTGAGCGCGCTTCGGGCAGGAAAAAAAAAACTCGATGTGGTGGGCCCTAAGCACAGTTCCCAAGGGGGAACCTGCTCGATACCATGAGAAGATTTGAACAAGAATGTGTGAACTATGAAATGATGTGAGTACAAATATGAAACCCTAATTGGTTGTACCCCTTATGGGATACCCCACTATAGCCTACACAACAGCATAAGCTACAATGTTCTGACACCAAGCTTCACTGCAGCCCAACTGCAGCAGCTTTTGTCCCTGTTACAGCAGCAGGCCCCTGCTGTTACGGAAGAAATCGCTACACTGAACACGACTTCCGTTTCTGCTAAAAGCGAAAAGGCGAAAACGGAGTCTGTGAAGCGCGCTCGCACGACAAAAACCGGAAGGGGCGAAGACACACGCGCCGCTGCCGCTCCAGTCATGAACAACCCCATCGACAGCGACAATGAAGACGACGACGATGGTGAGGCACATGCCTTAAATGCCGCTTTTGCACCCGTTGAGCAACTCCCCCCACTCCCGTCTCCCAATCCCACTCTAACCGCCGCCTCGTTCAAGAACGCCGCCGTGCGCGAGCAAGCCGAGGTCCTGGAACACCTGCGGGCATACCTGAAGCATGCAGAGCACAAGGTGCGACACAACGAGCCGGAAAGCGCCCTCGAATACCTTGGCGAAGCTTTCACACTTATCACCAACCGCTTCAAGCTACTCCACGTCGCCGACTACACCAACTTCCGCACGGCAAATCGCTTCAAGCTCTACGAAGATAAGAGCGTCTTCACCTCACGCCCGTTCAAGCAAGCCGTCGCGGACGTGGCGGCAATGGAGCGCGCACAAGGCAATTTCAACCGTACCCCACGTGGCGGAGGGCGCGGGCCCATGGCATTTGGCAACAAGCGCGGCCCCCCATTTGACGGCAATGGAAGGAGCTTTCGTGGCTCATGCTTCCGTTGTGGGCAGCCAGGCCACATGGCCAATGCTTGCCCGGAAAATGGGGGAGGAGCCCAAGGGCCGGCACCGGTGGTGTGAACGCCCTAGGGGGCGGTGCCGAGAGGCTTGAATGGAGATGATGGCACTAGGGAGTGCAAAGGCCGCTGGCCTATCCCATAGGGGATGTTAGAAAGGCCGCGGGCCTACCCCAAGGCAAGGGGTGTAGGACTAGGAGTCCTAGGTGAACATGTGATTGCAAGTAATGCTTGTATGCTCTTTTGAATGAATGGGAAGGCCTAATGGGCAAAGTTGTTGGACTCGCTTGAAAAAAAAAAAAAAAAAAGGAGCATGCGCTCTTGAGGTGTGGAAGAACCTGAAGCGGGGAACACCTATACGGCATGGAAGCCTACGGTACATGCGAACAAGAGAGAAAGAGATAGAGAGCAAAAAAAAAAAAAAAAAAAGGGAAGTGGCAAGATGTGCGGGCTATGCAAGCCCTGAAATGCAAAGGAATCACGGGTGAAGGGAAAAAAAAAAAAAAAAAAGGAAAAAAGGAAAGAGTGGGTGTGGGACTTGGGGTCCCATGATGCCAAGAGCACACGCCATAATGCAAGACAAAGGGTGGCCTACCAAACATGGAAGGCAGCAAATGGCCATCCGAAGAGCATGCGGCACGTGAAAAAAAAAAAAAAAAAAAGGCAAGGGCCAAAGCGGCCGAACGAAGGGGCTGCTCCGGTGGAGCACCTCCGGTTGGGCACATCTCAGAATACCAGAGTGCAGGTGTAGGCACGCAAAGGTCTCACGAACCACAAAAAAAAAAAAAAAAAAAAAAAAGAGAGAGAGAGAGAGGGAAGGGGAAGGGGCGTCGGCATGAACATTTGCGGGCATTGGATCTAGTTAATCGTACGCACAACCTACTAGCCAAACGCCCCTGCTTAAAAGAAGCCCGTCCCGAATTACCGAGTCGGATGGTAGAGCGTCACCACTCTCACGCGATTGGCCCAGAGTTTCACGTGGGTTTCGACAGGACTGGCTTCCGATTCCCTAACCGAACCGCCGCTGGGGTTTTTCCGAACCTACAATTTTCCGTTGACTTCCTTGTGTAATTCGAGTCTTGAGTTTTAACGAAGCACGCCCCATGTTGCCCCCACACCCATGGTCCACTGGCTACAGATATGCCGGGGGGTGGAACGATCGAGGGGGGTGGCCCCTATGAGTTCGCGGTCACTGACAAGCTCGTCACGACCATGCGTGGGCGCCTGCGCACGGCATTTCCATGGTGGAGCTCGTGGTGCGAGAGCAGTTTCATACTCTCGGTGATCGCCAATGGCTACTGGATGCCATGGAAGCATGGACCACCCACGCCGTTCCGGCAAGACAACCACGCGGGAGCGCTAATCCATTCCACGTTCACCAAGCAGGCAATAACCGAGCTTCTCGAGAGTGGTGCGGCCACACCCGCCCCCGCGGAACAACAGCTATGCATCAGCCCGCTAAATGTGGTGGTTCAAAGAGAAAAGTGCCGACTGATTCTTGACCTCCGAAGGGTGAACCAAAATTTGTGTATCCCCAAATTCAAGTACGAAGGACTGAACCGGGTGGCAGAGCTCGTTCATGAAGACGACTGGATGTTTGCAGTCGATTTAAAATCAGGATACCACCACGTTGACATCCACCCTTCCTACTGGAAGTTCCTCGGGTTCCAATTCGATGGGCGCTCGTACGTCTTTCGATCTCTGCCATTCGGGCTGGCGACAGCCCCGTTCGTTTTCACACAGCTCATCAAGCAGCTCGCCCGTCGTTGGCGGGCTCTCGGGGTGCGAGTCATCCCTTACGTCGACGACATCCTTTTTCTGTGTCGCACGGCAGCAGAAGCGCGAACCACGGGTCAGATGGTGGTGCAAGACCTCAGCAAGGCTGGACTGGTTATCAATTCCAAGAAGTCGCACTTGCAACCCACCCAGCAGCTACGGTTTTTGGGTGTCGAGCTGGATACACAGCGCGGCCAGTTCTCCATTGGTCCCGAGCGGCGAGCATCGTTACATTCAACCATTCGCGAATTATGCATGGCTGGCATGGCCGAACGCAAAGTCCCGATCCGCCACGCAGCCAGAGTTACCGGCATGCTCGCGTCGATGTCGCTTGCCATCGGCGCAACCGCGCGCGCATTCAGCCAGAATCTACTACAGACCATTCAGGATGCCCCTTCCTGGAACAGCAAAGTGCAGTTGGTCCCTGCGGTCATCGAAGAGCTCGAGTTTTGGCTACATGAATTTGACAGATTCAATGGAGCCCCATTCCATGTCCCGAACAGCTATGACGCAGTAATCCATGTGGACGCCAGCGCACACAGCTGGAGAGCGACACTAGATATGTTTCCAGGGAGGCGAATCGAGGCGAGCGCGACCATGCCCGTGCACCTCACGACAGCCTCCAGCACACAACGGGAAATGGACGGAGTCCTATGGGCATTGCAGACATTCTCGGGAAGGATCCAGCACCGACATGTCCTCGCCAGATTCGACAATCAAGGTGTCTTCTTTATTCTTCGCAAAGGTGGTTCGCGGACCCCGAGCCTCACAACAACGTGCAGAGCCATCATTCAAGCGTGCGTCACCTTTGGGATCCGGTTGACAGTTGAATGGATTCCGCGCGAACTCAACACACGAGCGGATGAACTTTCAAAGATGATCGATCGCGACGACTACGCAATCAAAGCACCATGGTTCCGGCTCATCGAGCGGCGCTTGGGACCGCACTCAATCGATTTATTTGCCAATGCAAACAACACCCAGCTGGCTCGCTTCTGCTCCAAAACTCCTCACCCTGACGCAGAGGCAACGGACGCCTTCTCCATATCATGGGCCCCCGAGCATGCATATGCGTTTCCGCCACCCCACCTCATCCCAGCGGTGTTGCATCACGCCCAAAGGACGCGAGCATCGCTCACGCTCGTCGTGCCTCATTGGCCAGGGGCAAGCTGGTGGCCGTTACTACAACCCGCCCCGCCCCAATGGGCCGCCTGCATTCTCGCTCATATCTGCCTCACCCATGGGAGCGAGTGCCTGACCGCAGGCACCCACACTCACGCATTTTCTGGGGAAGGATTGCCTCATAGCCCGATTCTTGCATTACAAGTGTCCTTCGCCACCTGACCATTCACACATCTGGTGCAGGATTGCTCGAGCGGCTCAAGCAAGAGTTGCTTCGGATAACGACGCATACAAGGGCTGACTCCACCATTCGCACCTACGAACCATACTGGGCCAAGTTCCGAGCATTTTGCATAGACGTGAAACTGCAGTTCTTGCCATGCACAGACATGACACTCGCATTATACCTGGTCCACGCGATTCAACAGAAGGCCACCATATCAGCAATACAACTGACATGCTCGGCAGTCAGCTTCGCGCATCGGATGATTGGGGCCACGTGCCCGTCGACCGGGCCGTTCACATCCAATGTGCGAGACTTCGCCAAGCGACATTGTCCGCGACCTCAACGACTCAAGGATCCCGTCTCGCTGCATCAAGTACATGCAATGGCGGCGGAATTCCTGAAATCGAACAACCCGGGCGAGTTTCAGAAGGGGCTCATCCCACTACTCATGTACGCCGGCTTCCTGCGATACTCAGACCTCGTCGCACTCAATTGGCACGAGATTGAGTTCGAGAAAGACGCTATGTGGCTCCTGATCCCCCACTCTAAAACAGACCAGGCAGGAGAAGGCGCATGGGTCCCAGTAGCCGCCAGTCCGGGCCCTTTCTGCCCCGTACAATGCACCAAACGCTTCATCCAGTTGGCAGGCTATGGCCGCGCACAATACGGCCCGTTGATACGAGTCTTTGGTTCAGACACTACGGGTCGCGTTAGTACGACAACACCACCCTCCTATACAACAATCCGCAATTGGTGCAAGGAGGCATTTCACAAGATTGGCCTAGGACTCGAGCACCTCGGAACCCACTCATTCCGCAAAGGCGCAGCAACCGTCGCCGCCCTGATCGCATTTTGAAACAGCTGGGGAGGTGGCGCAGCGATACGGCCAAGGAGATGTACATCACTCCGGCGATAGAACAGTTGGTTGGAGCATCTCGACAAGTCCAAGATCCGGCGAGAGCCTCGTCACCGACGCAACACTCCGCGGCGCTGACACGACATCGCCAACCAGCACGACACATGTCTCAGAAGACCCATTTGAAATGAGAAGATGCCAATTGCTACATGCAAGAAAGCAAGCTTTCTAAATAGGCTGATATTTCAGAGTGGTCTGTGTAACCGGACTGATGTGAAAGACTCGAAACGAATTTGACACTGACGAATTTTGGGGGGGGGGGGGGGGTTCCAGTACATCAACAGTCGGCGAAAATCTTGCCGCAATTAGCGGCTAAATTTCACAATCACGACTGTGCGGGTCGCCTTGACGGCCCGGACCGCCAGGACACGGCGTAGCCGTGCAGAGTGGCATGCCTTCACATATGCATGCATGTCGCAGTGGCTAGGTGACAGTGCTATGTTCCAGTCATCTTCGGGAATTGCATATAAAGGAGTCTGCTTGTCATCTTTATCCACATCATTTTTCGATTCGATCTCGACCATCGTTCCATCTCCCATCCCTCCATTCCTCCTTGCCTCTTGCACGCTTTTCCTTCCTCCGTGGTTGAGTAGCAAGCAAGGACCATGGTGTATCAACAAGCGCTCCTGGTTTCCACCTTCCAAATCTTTTTCGCCCTTCTGCCACTCCGAATAGCGGCTTTTCTTTGCTCCCATCCAACACCTGTCCTCGACTCGCTCTAGTTTGCGAGAGTCTCCGTTGTTGTCACCCTCTTAGTCGCCCCTACCTGTGTCGCTCCTGTGCTGCACTTTACATTGCTTCATCTCTTTCTGGGAGTCAGGAGGAGGTGGAGGGCGTGAGAGAGCTGGGGTCCTGCTAGCTAGCTTCGGAGCGGACGCCATGGAAGGTAGGCACGCTGGGGTTCGCGCCAGTTAAAACTGGTTACGAGCTTGGCTTGTTCATGCATGCTGCCTATGTGGAAAAAAAAAAAACTGCCTCAATTCGTGTATCATCAACAGTCGGCTTCGTTCGTCTCATGTCTGGTTCGTGATGGACCAATCCAATCAGCCTTGAGTAGTAGCCCTCAACCTTACCCACCTACTCTTCGGCATTCTTACCCCACCCCCCTCCTTACCTCGCCATTTATTGGAACGTCATCTGCTGCAGCGGACCTTTTGTCGGCGACGTTGCGGTGGCAAATCGATGCGGTGCCGCCGCCGCAAGACGAGAGAGATGTAGTCTACACGAGAGAGGGAACGCAAGTAGCAATGCGCGAGGTTTTTTACAAAAGACAAGGCGCGAACCCCAGCGTGCCTACCTTCCCAGGCATCAGCAGCGCTGCGCTCAGCAGGCAAGCCATCACGGGGAGCAGCAGTAGTGGAGGGCGAGCCCGAGGCCGGTGCCCTTGTCTCCAACCCCATGCCAACTTCTTACATGCTCTCTCCTAATGTGGTGCATGTCACGAGGGAAATCCATCACGAGGGGGGCAGCAGCGGTGGAGGGCGTACCAGAGGGAGGGGCCGGTGGCCGTGTTTCCAACCCCATGCCAACTTCTTACATGCTCTCTCCTAATGTGGTGCATGTCACGAGGGAAATCCATCACGAGGGGGGCAGCAGCGGTGGAGGGCGTACCAGAGGGAGGGGCCGGTGGCCGTGTTTCCAACCCCATGCCAACTTCTTACATGCTCTCTCCTAATGTGGTGCATGTCACGAGGGAAATCCATCACGAGGGGGGCAGCAGCGGTGGAGGGCGTACCAGAGGGAGGGGCCGGTGGCCGTGTTTCCAACCCCATGCCAACTTCTTACATGCTCTCTCCTAATGTGGTGCATGTCACGAGGGAAATCCATCACGAGGGGGGCAGCAGCGGTGGAGGGCGTACCAGAGGGAGGGGCCGGTGGCCGTGTTTCCAACCCCATGCCAACTTCTTACATGCTCTCTCCTAATGTGGTGCATGTCACGAGGGAAATCCATCACGAGGGGGGCAGCAGCTGTGGAGGGCGTACCAGAGGGAGGGGCCGGTGGCCGTGTTTCCAACCCCATGCCAACTTCTTACATGCTCTCTCCTAATGTGGTGCATGTCACGAGGGAAATCCATCACGAGGGGGGCAGCAGCGGTGGAGGGCGTACCAGAGGGAGGGGCCGGTGGCCGTGTTTCCAACCCCATGCCAACTTCTTACATGCTCTCTCCTAATGTGGTGCATGTCACGAGGGAAATCCATCACGAGGGGGGCAGCAGCGGTGGAGGGCGTACCAGAGGGAGGGGCCGGTGGCCGTGTTTCCAACCCCATGCCAACTTCTTACATGCTCTCTCCTAATGTGGTGCATGTCACGAGGGAAATCCATCACGAAGGGGGCAGCAGCGGTGGAGGGCGTACCAGAGGGAGGGGCCGGTGGCCGTGTTTCCAACCCCATGCCAACTTCTTACATGCTCTCTCCTAATGTGGTGCATGTCACGAGGGAAATCCATCACGAGGGGGGCAGCAGCGGTGGAGGGCGTACCAGAGGGAGGGGCCGGTGGCCGTGTTTCCAACCCCATGCCAACTTCTTACATGCTCTCTCCTAATGTGGTGCATGTCACGAGGGAAATCCATCACGAAGGGGGCAGCAGCGGTGGAGGGCGTACCAGAGGGAGGGGCCGGTGGCCGTGTTTCCAACCCCATGCCAACTTCTTACATGCTCTCTCCTAATGTGGTGCATGTCACGAGGGAAATCCATCACGAGGGGGGCAGCAGCGGTGGAGGGCGTACCAGAGGGAGGGGCCGGTGGCCGTGTTTCCAACCCCATGCCAACTTCTTACATGCTCTCTCCTAATGTGGTGCATGTCACGAGGGAAATCCATCACGAGGGGGGCAGCAGCGGTGGAGGGCGTACCAGAGGGAGGGGCCGGTGGCCGTGTTTCCAACCCCATGCCAACTTCTTACATGCTCTCTCCTAATGTGGTGCATGTCACGAGGGAAATCCATCACGAGGGGGGCAGCAGCGGTGGAGGGCATACCAGAGGGAGGGGCCGGTGGCCGTGTTTCCAACCCCATGCCAACTTCTTACATGCTCTCTCCTAATGTGGTGCATGTCACGAGGGAAATCCATCACGAGGGGGGCAGCAGCGGTGGAGGGCATACCAGAGGGAGGGGCCGGTGGCCGTGTTTCCAACCCCATGCCAACTTCTTACATGCTCTCTCCTAACGTGGTGCATGTCACGAGGGAAATCCATCACGAAGGGGGCAGCAGCGGTGGAGGGCGTACCAGAGGGAGGGGCCGGTGGCCGTGTTTCCAACCCCATGCCAACTTCTTACATGCTCTCCCATCTGTGGTGCATGTTGTGCAGGCATCAGCAGCGCTGCGCTCAGCAGGCAAGCCATCAAGGGGGGCAGCAGCGGTGGAGGGCGAACCAGAAGGACTGGTGGAGGCAACAGCAGAGGCGATCAAACAGGAATACCGCTTCAAACGCCCTGAGCTGCTCAAACCTGTAGTGGAGCCCACACTAGCGAAGCTTGTACTATGATGTGTCTGTGCCAGGCCTCTGGATAGGATTTGGGGCACTCTTACTCGCAAGGCCAGTTCGCTGAAGTTGGTCTTTCAGTAAGGGTGGGTCAGCCATGTCAGTCTTTTTTATCAGTGTCAGCTGGAAAGGTACTCTTGCTCATCAGTGTGCACATTGTTTTCACCCTTTCATGTTTAGACTGGGGAAACTGCCGCTAACAATGGGCCGGCAGCGGCAGGTTCTGGGGTCGTTGCATTGGAACCAGTAGTGGGTAGGGAGGGCGGATCTGCCCGCGTCTGGACAGACTCGGTAATGGGAACCGCAAAAGGCCTCAGAAAGCTGAGACCTGTTCTCGGGGGAGAGTCGAAACGAGGCTTGCCGGCCTCGTCGTCATCGTGACAAAGAACGTGAGCAGCCATGGACAAGAAAACGGGATGTGGCTAGCTAGCTAGACACTCAGACGGGAGCTGCGTGGTGGTGAGACAGTGGCTGAGCTTGTAGAAAAGACTCTGCTTGTCTGCAGAGCGTTGCTGTGAGAGCTTCCCGTCCCGGTGGGGTGTCCAGGGAGGGTGTGTGATGGTAGTGGGAATCTGGAAGGTTCGGTGTGGAGGGGAGTGCGTGCGCGCGCCGCGCTGTGCTGTGCTATGCAGAAGGTGGGACGTGATGCATGTGTATGTGAAGGCATGGCGGCATGCATGTGTATGTGGAGGCATGGTGGCATGCATGTGTATGTGAAGGCATGGCGGCATGCATGTGTATGTGAAGGCATGGCGGCATGCATGTGTATGTGAAGGCATGGTGGCATGCATGTGTATGTGAAGGCATGGCTGCATGCATGTGCAAACTAACACAGCAATGGCATGAGCACATCCCAACGCACATGTGCAGCGAGATATAGAGGTCCCCTAGCTCCTTCCATGCCTCATAATCCGCCATGTAACTGGAAGAAGGAGGGAGAATGCGGAGGGGAGAAAAGGTGGAGGAGGAGAGAAGGGAGGGCAGGATACATGTGCCACGAGAGCAACACATAGCTCCTTTCATGCCTCATAGTCTGCCATGTAACTGGAGGAAGAAGAGGGGAGGGGAGGGCGAAGCGGGTCAGGGGGATAAAGAGGGACAGGCTTATTATTTGAGTTGCAGGAGTGAGCACGCACGGTATAGGTCCCCTAGCACCTTCCACGCCTCATAGTCCACCATGTAGCTGGAGGGATGGGAGAGGAGGGGAGGGAGAGAAGGATGGGAGAGCAAGGAGGAGGGGAGGGAGAGAAGGATGGGAGAGCGAGGAGGAGGGGAGGGCGAGGAGGAGGGGGATGGGAAAGGGGAGGAGGAGGACAAAGGGTGGTAGAAACCCTTTATAACAGCTGTTGTTAACACGTATCACTGCACTCCCACACCACTGCACTCCCACACCACTGCAGCACCCTGCACCGCTGCACTCCTGCACCGCTGCACCCCACACCGCTGCACCCCACACCGCTGCACCCCACACTGCTGCACCCCACACCGCTGCACCCCACACCGCTGCACTCACGCACCGCTGCACCCCACACCGCTGCACTCACGCACCGCTGCACCCCACACCGCTGCACCCCACACCGCTGCACCCCACACCGCTGCACTCACGCACCGCTGCACCCCGCCAGCCTCACATCTCGAGGCGCTGCTTGTGTGCAGCGATGGCTCCCACCGTGTTTCCCTTGCCCTTTCAGCACCGGCTGGCAGCAGGACATGCAGCAGAGGGCACTTCTCAGCACTCTCTCCGACACCACTGCATTCCCGCCCCACTGCACTCCACCACTCCGTACCCCTACACTCACGTTTCGAGATACTTCTTGAGAGCGCTGATGGCCCCCACCGTGTTGCCCTTGCCTTTCAGCACAGCAACTTGACGCTTCAACACTTGCTGGCAGCGCGGAGATATGCACGAGAGAGGAGCAGCAAGAAAAAGGGAGAGAGACGACAGAAAAGGTGTTTGGTTGGATGGCTGCTGCTGAAGTGATGTCCTTGCTCTTGAGCACTGCCATGTGGCATTCCAACACTGGATGAGGGGGGATGAAGGAAGAGCAGAAAGAGCAGGCGGAAAGAGAATATCAAACAATCACTTCCTTCGCTACAGAAGAGAGCAGGCACACGCTCTCACCCACCGGGTCCTGAGAGTTGCTCTCCAGCAAGTCAGAGTAGACCTTGTCCGCCTGATCGCACCACCCCTTCTTGAGTCTTGACCGTGCAACAAGAGAGGAAAGGGAAATAAGCACACTCAATCGATCTGTGGCCAGGCACACGCACCTGGTCCTGCGGGTTGCTCTCCAGCAGGTCACTGTACACCTTGTCCGCCTGATCCCACCACCCCTTCGCCTCCAGCCACATGCCCTCCAACCGCCCTGCACCGCACACGATACAGGGGGGGAAGACAGGAGAGAGGAGAGGAGAGGAGAGGAGAGGAGAGGAGAGGAGAGGAGAGGAGAGGAGAGGAGAGGAGAGGAAAGGAGAGGAGAAGAGAGGAGAGGAAAGGAGAGGAGAGGAGAGGAGAGGAGAGGAGAGGAGAGGAGAGAAAACGAGAGGAGAGGAGAGGAGAGGAGAGGAGAGGAGAGCAGAGCAGAGGAGAGCAGAGGAGAGGAGAGGAGAGGAGAGGAGAGGAGAGGAGAGGAGAGGAGAGGAGAGGAGAGGAGAGCACCAGGTGCAAGGTCAGTGAGTCATGCCATAAGTAACAAAGGCCAAACGGTGATGGCCGAGTGGTGCAAGGTAGTGAAATGTAGTGCAAGCGGTGCAAAAAGCCTTAGGCGTGGTTGAACGGAGTGGGTTGGGTGCAGCAGAGCGCGGTGAAGTGCGGTGGTGAGCGGTGCAGTGACTCACCCACGCGAGTGCTATTGGGGAATGCGATCATGAGAGCTCCTATGCACTCCTGCCATATCATCCACACAATGCAAAGAACGCAAGTAGGTGTTAGGAGCGGTGCAATGGGGTTTGCATGGTAAAATGCGATCATGAGAGCTCCTATGCACTCCTGCCATATCATCCACACAATGCAAAGAACGCAAGTAGGTGTTAGGAGCGGTGCAATGGGGTTTGCATGGTAAAATGCGATCATGAGAGCTCCTATGCACTCCTGCCATATCATCCACACAATGCAAAGAACGCAAGTAGGTGTTAGGAGCGGTGCAATGGGGTTTGCATGGTAAAATGCGATCATGAGAGCTCCTATGCACTCCTGCCATATCATCCACACAATGCAAAGAACGCAAGTAGGTGTTAGGAGCGGTGCAATGGGGTTTGCATGGTAAAATGCGATCATGAGAGCTCCTATGCACTCCTGCCATATCATCCACACAATGCAAAGAACGCAAGTAGGTGTTAGGAGCGGTGCAATGGGGTTTGCATGGTAAAATGCGATCATGAGAGCTCCTATGCACTCCTGCCATATCATCCACACAATGCAAAGAACGCAAGTAGGTGTTAGGAGCGGTGCAATGGGGTTTGCATGGTAAAATGCGATCATGAGAGCTCCTATGCACTCCTGCCATATCATCCACACAATGCAAAGAACGCAAGTAGGTGTTAGGAGCGGTGCAATGGGGTTTGCATGGTAAAATGCGATCATGAGAGCTCCTATGCACTCCTGCCATATCATCCACACAATGCAAAGAACGCAAGTAGGTGTTAGGAGCGGTGCAATGGGGTTTGCATGGTAAAATGCGATCATGAGAGCTCCTATGCACTCCTGCCATATCATCCACACAATGCAAAGAACGCAAGTAGGTGTTAGGAGCGGTGCAATGGGGTTTGCATGGTAAAATGCGATCATGAGAGCTCCTATGCACTCCTGCCATATCATCCACACAATGCAAAGAACGCAAGTAGGTGTTAGGAGCGGTGCAATGGGGTTTGCATGGTAAAATGCGATCATGAGAGCTCCTATGCACTCCTGCCATATCATCCACACAATGCAAAGAACGCAAGTAGGTGTTAGGAGCGGTGCAATGGGGTTTGCATGGTAAAATGCGATCATGAGAGCTCCTATGCACTCCTGCCATATCATCCACACAATGCAAAGAACGCAAGTAGGTGTTAGGAGCGGTGCAATGGGGTTTGCATGGTAAAATGCGATCATGAGAGCTCCTATGCACTCCTGCCATATCATCCACACAATGCAAAGAACGCAAGTAGGTGTTAGGAGCGGTGCAATGGGGTTTGCATGGTAAAATGCGATCATGAGAGCTCCTATGCACTCCTGCCATATCATCCACACAATGCAAAGAACGCAAGTAGGTGTTAGGAGCGGTGCAATGGGGTTTGCATGGTAAAATGCGATCATGAGAGCTCCTATGCACTCCTGCCATATCATCCACACAATGCAAAGAACGCAAGTAGGTGTTAGGAGCGGTGCAATGGGGTTTGCATGGTAAAATGCGATCATGAGAGCTCCTATGCACTCCTGCCATATCATCCACACAATGCAAAGAACGCAAGTAGGTGTTAGGAGCGGTGCAATGGGGTTTGCATGGTAAAATGCGATCATGAGAGCTCCTATGCACTCCTGCCATATCATCCACACAATGCAAAGAACGCAAGTAGGTGTTAGGAGCGGTGCAATGGGGTTTGCATGGTAAAATGCGATCATGAGAGCTCCTATGCACTCCTGCCATATCATCCACACAATGCAAAGAACGCAAGTAGGTGTTAGGAGCGGTGCAATGGGGTTTGCATGGTAAAATGCGATCATGAGAGCTCCTATGCACTCCTGCCATATCATCCACACAATGCAAAGAACGCAAGTAGGTGTTAGGAGCGGTGCAATGGGGTTTGCATGGTAAAATGCGATCATGAGAGCTCCTATGCACTCCTGCCATATCATCCACACAATGCAAAGAACGCAAGTAGGTGTTAGGAGCGGTGCAATGGGGTTTGCATGGTAAAATGCGATCATGAGAGCTCCTATGCACTCCTGCCATATCATCCACACAATGCAAAGAACGCAAGTAGGTGTTAGGAGCGGTGCAATGGGGTTTGCATGGTAAAATGCGATCATGAGAGCTCCTATGCACTCCTGCCATATCATCCACACAATGCAAAGAACGCAAGTAGGTGTTAGGAGCGGTGCAATGGGGTTTGCATGGTAAAATGCGATCATGAGAGCTCCTATGCACTCCTGCCATATCATCCACACAATGCAAAGAACGCAAGTAGGTGTTAGGAGCGGTGCAATGGGGTTTGCATGGTAAAATGCGATCATGAGAGCTCCTATGCACTCCTGCCATATCATCCACACAATGCAAAGAACGCAAGTAGGTGTTAGGAGCGGTGCAATGGGGTTTGCATGGTAAAATGCGATCATGAGAGCTCCTATGCACTCCTGCCATATCATCCACACAATGCAAAGAACGCAAGTAGGTGTTAGGAGCGGTGCAATGGGGTTTGCATGGTAAAATGCGATCATGAGAGCTCCTATGCACTCCTGCCATATCATCCACACAATGCAAAGAACGCAAGTAGGTGTTAGGAGCGGTGCAATGGGGTTTGCATGGTAAAATGCGATCATGAGAGCTCCTATGCACTCCTGCCATATCATCCACACAATGCAAAGAACGCAAGTAGGTGTTAGGAGCGGTGCAATGGGGTTTGCATGGTAAAATGCGATCATGAGAGCTCCTATGCACTCCTGCCATATCATCCACACAATGCAAAGAACGCAAGTAGGTGTTAGGAGCGGTGCAATGGGGTTTGCATGGTAAAATGCGATCATGAGAGCTCCTATGCACTCCTGCCATATCATCCACACAATGCAAAGAACGCAAGTAGGTGTTAGGAGCGGTGCAATGGGGTTTGCATGGTAAAATGCGATCATGAGAGCTCCTATGCACTCCTGCCATATCATCCACACAATGCAAAGAACGCAAGTAGGTGTTAGGAGCGGTGCAATGGGGTTTGCATGGTAAAATGCGATCATGAGAGCTCCTATGCACTCCTGCCATATCATCCACACAATGCAAAGAACGCAAGTAGGTGTTAGGAGCGGTGCAATGGGGTTTGCATGGTAAAATGCGATCATGAGAGCTCCTATGCACTCCTGCCATATCATCCACACAATGCAAAGAACGCAAGTAGGTGTTAGGAGCGGTGCAATGGGGTTTGCATGGTAAAATGCGATCATGAGAGCTCCTATGCACTCCTGCCATATCATCCACACAATGCAAAGAACGCAAGTAGGTGTTAGGAGCGGTGCAATGGGGTTTGCATGGTAAAATGCGATCATGAGAGCTCCTATGCACTCCTGCCATATCATCCACACAATGCAAAGAACGCAAGTAGGTGTTAGGAGCGGTGCAATGGGGTTTGCATGGTAAAATGCGATCATGAGAGCTCCTATGCACTCCTGCCATATCATCCACACAATGCAAAGAACGCAAGTAGGTGTTAGGAGCGGTGCAATGGGGTTTGCATGGTAAAATGCGATCATGAGAGCTCCTATGCACTCCTGCCATATCATCCACACAATGCAAAGAACGCAAGTAGGTGTTAGGAGCGGTGCAATGGGGTTTGCATGGTAAAATGCGATCATGAGAGCTCCTATGCACTCCTGCCATATCATCCACACAATGCAAAGAACGCAAGTAGGTGTTAGGAGCGGTGCAATGGGGTTTGCATGGTAAAATGCGATCATGAGAGCTCCTATGCACTCCTGCCATATCATCCACACAATGCAAAGAACGCAAGTAGGTGTTAGGAGCGGTGCAATGGGGTTTGCATGGTAAAATGCGATCATGAGAGCTCCTATGCACTCCTGCCATATCATCCACACAATGCAAAGAACGCAAGTAGGTGTTAGGAGCGGTGCAATGGGGTTTGCATGGTAAAATGCGATCATGAGAGCTCCTATGCACTCCTGCCATATCATCCACACAATGCAAAGAACGCAAGTAGGTGTTAGGAGCGGTGCAATGGGGTTTGCATGGTAAAATGCGATCATGAGAGCTCCTATGCACTCCTGCCATATCATCCACACAATGCAAAGAACGCAAGTAGGTGTTAGGAGCGGTGCAATGGGGTTTGCATGGTAAAATGCGATCATGAGAGCTCCTATGCACTCCTGCCATATCATCCACACAATGCAAAGAACGCAAGTAGGTGTTAGGAGCGGTGCAATGGGGTTTGCATGGTAAAATGCGATCATGAGAGCTCCTATGCACTCCTGCCATATCATCCACACAATGCAAAGAACGCAAGTAGGTGTTAGGAGCGGTGCAATGGGGTTTGCATGGTAGAATGCGATCATGAGAGCTCCTATGCACTCCTGCCATATCATCCACACAATGCAAAGAACGCAAGTAGGTGTTAGGAGCGGTGCAATGGGGTTTGCATGGTAAAATGCGATCATGAGAGCTCCTATGCACTCCTGCCATATCATCCACACAATGCAAAGAACGCAAGTAGGTGTTAGGAGCGGTGCAATGGGGTTTGCATGGTAAAATGCGATCATGAGAGCTCCTATGCACTCCTGCCATATCATCCACACAATGCAAAGAACGCAAGTAGGTGTTAGGAGCGGTGCAATGGGGTTTGCATGGTAAAATGCGATCATGAGAGCTCCTATGCACTCCTGCCATATCATCCACACAATGCAAAGAACGCAAGTAGGTGTTAGGAGCGGTGCAATGGGGTTTGCATGGTAAAATGCGATCATGAGAGCTCCTATGCACTCCTGCCATATCATCCACACAATGCAAAGAACGCAAGTAGGTGTTAGGAGCGGTGCAATGGGGTTTGCATGGTAAAATGCGATCATGAGAGCTCCTATGCACTCCTGCCATATCATCCACACAATGCAAAGAACGCAAGTAGGTGTTAGGAGCGGTGCAATGGGGTTTGCATGGTAAAATGCGATCATGA